GATTCTGGGTCAGTTTTGTCCGAGATTATCTTCCAAGTCTTCAGACTCGTCAAAAGTGGGAACGTGATGGTAATCCTATTGCTCCTTCTGCCATTGTCATGATTGTGGACCCTCAGCTTCCGCGTGGACACTGGCCTATCGGGACTGTTAGTAAGATTTTGCCAAGTCCTGATGGAAGAGTGAGAGTTGCTGAGATCTTCAGCAAAGGGAAATCTTTAATTCGTCCTGTCAGCTGTCTAATTGTTCTTTCTGAATTGACTGATACGGATCATCCAATTGTATGAATTTCCTGTAGATACAAATATGTTAACATATTTGGGGGCGGCTGTAGAAAATCCTGCTGAGATCTGATTGGCTGATTGAGTCCTGATAAGATCACCTGTTGCCACTAACTAATCATGCTTCAGTCTCAGTTTGCTTGTATATAAGAAGCCGTCTCCCCCATTCATACATGGTCTGTGTGGAATTGTTGCGTTGTTGACAATGTAAGTTTCTTTCTGATTGTTTGTTTAAAGGATTGTGTTTGATATATTGAATTCTAGTTATGTATAGTTTCTCTTTGGTGTTATATTCATTTGAATTGTTAAAGTTGATATCAGATGTATGGTTTAAGATCTGCAGATGTGTTTGTAATCTATTAATTGTTTCTATGTTTATGTTTAGAAACCAACAATTACCACCATAAGAAATGTCTACTCCTACATGTTGAGTACAATAAACTGAGAGCAATAACTGATGACTGAATGAGTTTTAATGGACCCACCGTTCCAGTAGCAACAGCTGAATCAGCCTAAATGTACCACTAGTTTTTACAATGTTTAATAAACATGTTTTTGTTTCGCTTGTCATTCTAATTCTGTGATTAATGGGAAGTAGTCCAAGGACGACACTAGAGTGCGCCCGCGCCCCCAACACATTTGTCGCCCTAGGCAATCGCCTAGTTCGCCTATAGCAATCGCCGGCCCTGCACATATGGCTACAACAACCTATAATGAAATGACCCGTTACAATAGAAAACTTTACACTGAATTCTGTTAGAGAGCTACATGCGTATAGCAATTTATCTGTTCAATGAAATACCTTACTCACCTGTTGAGTAATAAAAACACCTCTCCCCATCGCTTTTACAACATTTCAAAATTAAAGCCAATGTTGATTCTGGTTTTATTACGAGCTCTGTTGTGTTCTCTTCTTGCCACATACTCTCCTCTGCTTGGCGTTATTTTAAATGGGTGATTCCCCAGAGGTAGGTTGGAGACTAAAGGCCATTGCACACTGAGTCCGAAATTTTCGTATGCGTTTTTTGTTCATCAGCCTAAAAATTCGTCACGCACAGAAACTTTGCACACTGAGTCCGATGCGTATTTATTAAACCTTTGCAGAAAAAATGCAAAAAAATACTAAATGGATTCGTCAAGCAGTGAGGATGATTTTGTTGCCCTCTCTCTTATTAAAAAGGAGGAAATATTGGGTCCTGTGCCGAGAGGAAGGAGATGATCTTTCAGCTCCTTATCAAGGAGTTGCGAAATTATCCCGAGCGATTCAAAATTTACCTCAGAATGTCAATGGAACAGTTTGATGCTTTGCTAGCGATACTGGAGCCACATAAAAAGAAGACCACCAAAAAAGATACACACACGAGGGCCGGCAGAAACGCTGGGCAGACAGAACAGCTGTATACAGGTTTGTTGTTTATCATACAGTACTTTGTGCTGTGAGACGAAGTGCATCAACTTGTCAGATGCCATTCTGGATTTTGTCGTTCGCTTGTACGGTGGATCTGAATTGTCAAAAGATCTCTCAAAATGTTGGATGTGAAAAACGCAGAAAATCGAACCCGATCCGAATTTTTTTATGACGGACGAAAGTTTCGGAGGCAGTGTGCAAGTATGATTGACATAACGTGAGGTCGATTTTTTTTTTTTTACGTGCGAAAATTTCGGATGCGAATTTCGTACTCGGTGTGCAATGGCCTTTAGGTATGTTTACATATGACCCCGTTTTTCAACTGAAAAGGGAAAACCTTTTATGCACTTTGGCCATTCATTTACACGAAAACAGCGTTTTGGGGACCTGGAAAATGTAAGCTTTTGAACACGGGTTTCTAAGTGCAAGGTTTTGAAAACGATGCCTTTACCGTCTCCGTGTTAACAACAAAAACGTGAATATGTGAAAAGGATGACGTCATGCGCGTGTGTATTACATGTCCACGCATGCGTATTACGTGTTCACGGGGTGTTTTTTGACAAAGTGATATCGCCAACTACTCTGCCCTACAAAGGCTCACTAGAAACTGAGAAAAATTACTTTAAAGATTTGTAGTTGTCCTGCCAAATTAATTATAGGTAGGACACTGGAAATATCTACATAAAAAAATCTTAAGCTCAAACTTGACCTTTGACCACTATTTTAAAGTTACTGTACTCTGCCTTTGTATTGTCAGCAAAAAGTGAGAAGTCATGCCAAGGCAAAAGGCAGTAACTTCCACATTATCAATATTTAGTTGCTGATCACCATTAACAAAATCATTATAGTAACACCTGTATAAAATCTAGTTAGCATGGCATTTATTTTGTATGATTTACAATTACTTATAGCCATCTACTTATTGCTATTCTGTGCTTTGGTTGCATTCGGATTCAACTCGATTGACAAACGTATATTTAACGGTTTACTTAATAAACACTACTTCAATGTACCAGATTAAAGAATATCTTTGTACATAACAAAAAATAACATGTCAATGTGTGTGAGTGTGTGTCTATATGTGTATATTCTTAATCATAGTCACAGTGCTGGCAGATGAATGATGCCGGTAACCCTGGAGTGCAGGCCTGATGAGCCCAGAAACTGCATAGGGCGCATTTCACCCAAACCTCCTTTGGCTTTGAGTCGTTAAATTGCTCCATGCAAACCACTTTATTTAAAACACTGGCAGAGACACCTCTGTCAGTCTTTCTTTTCCATGCTCTAGTTATTCTTTAAAAACATTAAAATAAAGAACATTCTTAGTTATATTCTTAGTATGTAAGGGGATGGTTGTTGAAACAATCATACTGTTAAAAGCGCTTTATAAATGAAGGTGACTTGACTTGACACTTTTTAAATAAGTGTTACAACCCTCCCCACCCCTGTCAGCCAATGTTTAGCTAGCAGTTTTAGCATAGTGGTTTGAAATTAGCAGGGGGAAAATGCATCACATATTGCCTAGTAAACTACTATTTACTCTAATATAACTCATACAATTTTATCTTCAATAGTACAGATACTAAACAAAATATAGTCTTGGTCAAAATGTTTACTTTCTGACCTCAAAATCTTTTTTTTCTCTATATATTCTACATTTGCCTGTTTCCAGCCTTGATCAATCACCATGCGTGATCGGGTAGGAAGTAGGAAGAAACTGAAATGATCACATGACTCCTATCTTATCCCTAATTGGTGAAATTGTGTTACAACCAGGGATGTGTTACAACCATCCCCGGTCTCCCCTATTTTGAACTGTAACATTACATTGTTTTTACTCTATTTTTGATCTAATAAATGCAGCCTTGGTGAGCATAAAAGACTTCTTTTAAAAACATTAAAACCAAACCCCAAATTTACAATTTGAACTAGTATCCACAAATCTTAGATTTTAATTTGATAGGGTCTTTGATCTAAAGGAAACTGGTAATTAATGTGAAATTCAGTTTTGCAGACATATCTGGCACAGTTCCTATTTATCAATCTTCTAGTACAATACACCAGCTTACGTCATTGAAAACTAAAACATGAACCAGTTCAGAAGACGAGCATCATGCTGGAATCAGTGTGGTCTTATACATTGAAGCTTACTCTTCCCTTCACAGTGTCTCTTGACAGTAGAGGCTTTTTAGCTCTGGATATCGTCAAGCATTAAGTGGCTGAGAGTAATGGGATACATTCTGGGCACGCAGTAGAAGCCCAGCACTTTAGGAGAGGTGAAACCAGGACAATGAGAGCCGTTCCTCACTGCTGTGTTTACATTTAAACCACACCTGCTTCCTCCACACAACTCGGAATGTCACAGCACTCCTTCTCAGAGCGTTGAGGAGAAGTCAGGGAGTTTATTCGACTAATTTCTGGAAGGATAGTCCAATAGAAGCTTTTTCTAATCTAGAGGTATATGCCTGAGACTTAATCAACACCTAGAATCCAGGTGAAATGAACCTGTGCACACTCAATTTGTCATGTACAATGTTTCAAATGACACACTCTTGGATAAGACTTATCCAGAGGATTTTTTTGTCATTATTAACTTCTTTTTTTTTTTTTTTTTTGGTTCTTACAGACTAATATTAGCAAATCTCTAAGTAAATTACTATAAATGAGATTCAGAAATGCTCATTGATTGCTTGGGATGAATTGTCCTGCAGGTAATTTGCCTCTTCAAATCATTCAATTATGACTGCTTTATGCCCTTATCATTGACTAATCATATTGGTTCTGCACTGCAAACTGCAGAACCATAAAAATGCAATAACATAGCGAGCACAGAATACTAAGCTAGTGTGGGAACACTTTGAGGATTTTGGTGCCACCTACAGTCCAATTACATTTATGCATCAGGACCTTTTTGCTGATTAAACCACGTGACGAACTGAAAGGATATAATCCAATAAAACGAGACAATTAAATCATACGAACAAGAATACTGAGATTACACATGATCTTAAATCTAATCTTACTCGTCATAATAGAACTGTTATTAGGTAAAACGCAGTATGTGCATGGTTGTTAAAAAGTATGATGAAATTCCTATTACTGGCAAAGAAACCTTTCTCAAGAGACTTACAGAGAAAGTGACATCGGTCTACATCCTGCTATTAAAAATACCACATGATTTTTAGGAATAAGGGAAATCAAAAAGTGAAGTTAACATCTATCCCTTCTCGGAATCAGCATCAATTTGATGTTGCTTATAAATGTAATGGGTGTTTCTTCGACTAAGAGCTCTTTTGGACACTAAAAAATATACAATACACTTTTAATCTACTAACAACAGCAAATATCTATCCATCACGATAATTAATTCTGTCATTTCTGTTTTTCCCTAAAATCTTTTTTCCACCACATCTCAAATGATGTATTTTCATCTATAAAATTATGGCGGAAACGACATTTTAAACTTATTTTAAAAATAAAATGATCAACCTCTAAACCAATTGTATGTTAAGGTTCATTTCTAAGGTGGTATTTTATACAACCTAAATACACAGAACAAAATTCAATTTTCACACTTTTTGAATATTTTGACACATTACAGCTTATAATGATGCACAATAAAAAAATATTATCTACATAAGTGATAATAACATGTGATATGTGGGGAAAGAATCTATTTCTCATAGAGTATGTGATCTCAAGAATTCACTTCATTGACCGTTGTCTCCTTGGTAAACAAACAAACTTTTTAAGTAAAAATAACAATAAATGCAAAAACAAATTTAACAGAGAGATTGTGTATCGATGTTAATATCAGCACTGCCTTATTTCAGTCAGAATGGAAAACAAGTGCCAATACTTTTTAAGTCTTCTAAGGGACAAAAAAATAGTGGCCAGTAAAATTTGCTTTACATTTTTCAACTATAGCACAAAAAGAAGAAGAAAAAAAGAGAACTGTTGCAATGGTTTTAAAGTTAAATTTTTTTAAAAAAAGGAAAAAGTACAAATCAAGTAAAATCAAAATACAAATACATTGACAAAGATCTTGGTTTTGTTCTTTCTTGAATAAAAAGTGGATACCTTTGCTCATGCTTTTCACATATTAATGTAATTCATATATTGCTAATTATTACTATTGTTTTGTTGTTGAGGCTGCTGTTATTGTGATTACCATTTTTAAAAGTCATTTTACAATAAGCAGGACAAATAGCTTCCTGAAGTTTAAAAAAAACATATGGAATGATCATTTGAGCACTACAGACACCATATACTCTCACTTCCCACTACATTTTCTCAAGTGATCCAGACATCACATGATCCGTCAGACTCTCCACATTTACCTTAGCGTCCTGTCTTTGAGCACTGTTTGACAGAGGAGCCCAGTTTATCCGCGAGAAGGAACGGGCTAAGGTGGCAATACTGGAAAAATGAAAACTATGATTAAAAGTAATTCCTTTTATTGCTTCTATTAAAAAAGAAATATAACTTGTAAAGTAAACCTTATTTACCAAAAGATAATGAATAAGCTATGTGCACAATACAGCACATTTACCTGAGGAGTTCCGCTCTGGTTTGGATCTGGAGTGTCTAACATCGTAATATTGAAGTCTGTAGAGAAACGTGTGTTCTTGAGGATGGCGGCCATCTCTGCATCCACCTCCACTGGGACATTCGCCTGGAATCGAATTAGCAAAACCGACCACTGAATAAGGCATACTAACATATTAAAAAAGAAGAAGTAGAAGGTTACCTTGAAAGAATGAGAGGCATCAAACTCAAAACAGTCAGCACAGTCAGGCACGGTTCCTTTATATGTGACCAGAGCTTTGCTCTTGATGGAGTTTTGAGGCAGTTTAAAGATCCGGTAAGTTCCAGATGCGTATTTAACATCACCTATGATACGTCCCAGGTCATAGCATACCTAGTTAGAATTTAAAGCATCTGCCTGCATCCACGTTACATAAAAGCACAATGACAATGCAGTTCAGCTATAATGCTAGCACATACACAAACAAATTGGTAAAAAATAATAATAATTAAGAATAAAAAAAAAAGTAAACAAGTAGGTTACCAGTCTTTTTTTGAAGTTCAGGATTGTGAACCACAATGTGACTGCCTGCAACCATGTGGGGAGTGCTGAAGCCTATGTCCTTCATCAGAGCGATGAGATCTCGCCAGTAGAGGGCGCCGGCCATTCCCTCACCTGAAAGTAACGAGCACCAGTGGCGTATGTTTGATTTTGAAATTGGTGGGGACGGGGACATCAATATATAAATATATTTTAAGTTTTGATTGAAATTATTGCTAGGGATATATCAGTGTCACTGGATATTGGTAGGGACACGTCCCTATCGTCCCTACTAAATTCTACGCCCCTGACGAGCACTCATTTAAATCCACTTCTTTGGGCCAAATCAAATTCTCTTTCACATGGATGAGACACATTTCATAAGTTAGTGAAAAATGCAATTTCAATTAAATGTGTTTCAATGTGGACCAGGGTTATATATAGTATGTATATACTGTAAAAAATGATATGATCAATAAGTTATGACAACATATGTTTTTACATTGTATATATTTCCTCTCGGTAAGGTTATTAGTCAGTTTAGTGACATATCTTACCACCTGTATGCAGATGATATCCAACTGTATTGCTCCTTTAAGGAAACTGAGTTGTTTAAATTGTCCTCTTTAATTAACTGTCAAAAAGTGGTTATGTGAGAACTTTTTGCTTCTCAATTCTGACAAAACAGAAACACTAATCATCGCCCCTGAAAGTAAAATCCCAAAGACAATACAATATATTGGTGACTTAGGCTCGTCTGTCCAACCGAGCCTCAGGAGCTTAGGTGTTGTCTTTGAGTCAGCTATGTCCTTGGAGCTTCATTTGAAACAATTAGTTAGAAACTGCTTTTTTCAACTGAGGAACATTTCAAAATTAAGATCATCTGTGACTAAAGGTGAGTTAGAGATGATTATTCATGCATTCATCTCCTCCCGTTTAGACTATTGTAATAGTCTTTATACGTGTTTGAGTAAGAAGGAGCTTTATCGTCTCCAGGTTGTTCAGAACTCTGCAGCAAGGCTTTTAAGAGAACACATCACACCTGTTTTAGCATCACTTCACTGGTTACCAGTGCAGTATAGAATTCATTTTAAAATAAATTCTGGTTCTTACTTTTAGAGCCTTGCATGGCCAAGTCAAGTCCCTACCTACATCACTGACCTGATACAGCTGCACACTCCTACCCGGAGTCTCAGGTCTTTAGGTCAGATGTTATTAGTTGTTCCCCGTACTCATTTTAAAACTAGAGGGGACCAGTCACTCCAGGCAGTGGAATGCTTTGCCTCTTGTTTTACGTTGTGCGAACTCAGTTGATTCTTTTAAAAAACAACTGAAGACTTTGCTTTTCAAGCAGGCTTTTGGTTAGTCGAGGGTTTTTTTTATGGTTGTTTGTAGTGTTTGTTGTTTTTATTTTGGGGAATGTATTTAAATTGTTCTTGTATTACATTTTACTGTGAAGCACTTTGTGATGTCTATCTGTGAAAAGTGCTATATAAATCAATTTTACTTACTTACTTACATTGCTTTAACTCATCAAAATAAGTTAAGCAATTTCAACTATTTAATAAGTTATACAAGACAACTAATTTTCAATTTCATGTAATTTCAGTTGATTGTCCTTAAAAAAAATTAAGGAAACAACTTTTTTTTAACTATTTGCCAAGTAAGCATTTCTCATTTTCATTTAGTTTAATTTAATGTACGAAAATAACTAAAACTAAAAATTTGATAAAAAACGAAATAGACATGTATAGAAAATAGACATATAAACATTTGAACTAGAATTAAATAAAAAAAAACAAATTAAAATATTAATAAAAATGATATTATACTTATCTGAATTATACTAAAATAACACTTTGAACTGTGAACCCAGTGAGAACTGATTTTGACATCATTTTGTCATTATTTTCCCCTCTTAATAAATCTTAAATCTAAACAGAATGCACGTTCTAAAATGTAACAGATCAGAGAATGTCAGAAAACAAAAAGAAATCAAGTTTACCCCACAGAACTGGATCTTCTTTGAAAGAGTCTGGAACTGCTTTGCTTGCATAGATGTCACTGTAGTACAACTCTCCACCCTCCTATGAGATCATTCACGTATAAAACATAGCATTTGTAAGTGCAAGACTTCGTAAAGGGTTTTGTTGCAGAATGAGGGGAAATTATCTATATGATGGAAATATCTCACCTTTAGAACTTTGTAAGCTTCACTTATCACAGTTCTCTTATCTGGGCACAGACATATTACACAATTTGACCTAGAAAAAATAATTGGCCTTTTTTACAACTTTTGCACAGGCAGATTAATGATCTACAAATCATTGAAAACATCATAAATGACCCAAGGATGTGCATACACAACTACATCCAAAGAGTTGTTCTGTATCCCTGCATCACTGAGCTTCTCCATGTATCCTTTCACAAACACAGTGTTTGGTTTTGAGTATCCAAACTTCTCCTGATGGTACTGGATATATTTTTGCGAGGCAACAATCTAATTATGGAGCAAACACAAAGGTTAATGGTTGCACTTTCTTTCATATTGATTTACACGTTTCAATTATACCATTTATACATTAGTTAACACTTATTCACAGATATTTAGATTTTTGAACTACCATTTTGTCCGTCATATCCAGTCCAATGACATGACCGCTCTCCCCCACCAGTTTACTGAGGACGAAGCAGTCTCTCCCCGATCCACTGCCCAGATCAAGAACCGCACATCCTTCCAGCTTCTCTGGAATCACCAGGCCACAGCCAAAATACCTGCAGATTTATTTTCTGTGCATTACTGAAAGGAATCAGGCAAAACTAAAGTTTTAAGGCACAATCTCAGTGCTGCTGCTGTACCTCTTGCAAACATCCGGGTGGACTAGTTTCAGGGCTTCACATGCACTCTTGGCCACGGGTCTGGAGGGCATGACACACGCAGCATTGGTCTGTAAGTCATCTGAAGTCTCCAGCCGAGACCCATAATAATTCTGGAAGTAATAAAGAGTGAATCTTTTTTTTTTTCTGGTAGAAAATATATCAAAAGTAATTTATACATACTGTAAAAGTTTCTCCAGGAGGGCTTCTACCCCCCATTGCTCAGTTGGTCATCATGAATCCAGCAGAAATAATGCTTGGCTATTTTTTAATGTTCTTATTTTTTTATTTTTTTATCACTATTTATTTTTAATATTCCTCATTTAATGTAACAATTCTGTGAAATCTACAGTTAAGGCAAATATTACACATACAAATCTTGATCAAATAAACAATCAAATATCACATGCCTCAAGTAGGGTAGTAGCCTACTTGATGAGGAACATGATTTACATGATCTTACAGACTTCAGATGAGCAAAGTGGAATCAAACAGCTCTGGTCATGTGACTATGTGTACATGTTCACATGAAATCAAAACAGTTTGAAATGTTTTAAGTTTATTTTATAGTGCATAACTCATAAAATACATTGTCGACTCTTAGGCCACTCAAGCGCAAAAGTAGCCTATATTAGATCATTGGTGTAACCGATGGGATTAATTATGTCGCTGGTCGCGTCGCTTCATTTGCAATATAAACATGGGGTAACACGACGTTGTCACCGCTTACCTTCACGTTTTCGTGAACAGCAGAAGACATGCTAAGGGGTTGTGGTTTACGCTGAAAAGCCAGAGTCCGGAGAAGTGTGGTAGCGTGTTTCATAAACGCAGTTATGCAAATCAAACGGAATGTAGTTGTAGGTTCGTGAACGTCTTCGAGTTTGTTAGGGACAATGACCCAAAATCTAACGGATTAGTGTATTGCAAAAAGTAAGACTGACTAAACTTTAATCGTTATATCTGATTGTATCCAACTTCAGGGGTAAAGTCCTTGCAGATCCTGGAATGGATATATGAATTATCAACGCATGTTCTATCAGAACTAACCACTAGAGGACGCGCCTGGTCCATAAATTCATGGCACACCTTTCTGCTATTACCGTAAATTACAGGCGATTTATTACTAGCTATGTTTAATGACTAGTGGGTAGAGGTCCCTTTAAGTATCTTCCAGACAAATTGTGGAATATTTCACCTTTAGTGTAAGACTGAACTTATAACCTTAGCCTATAATAAGTCTGTGATGATTTGTCAAATATAATGTCCAGGTCATCAGGACAAACATCTGTAATTCTAATAAAGTGTGTAGGCTATCTGAAGTAAACTATGGATGAAGGTGGTAGTATTGATGTCTTAGCACAGTTAAAAGACAGTAGTGTGAAGAAGAGGCCTGACATGCTGTGATGAATGCAGACATTGTTACTCTCCCGTGTGTGTGCATGCAACTGGAAAACTCTTCCCACAGTGTCCTGCTTGACATTAAGCAGAATCAGTCAGCTGTGACCTTACTCTGCCCTCAGAGTCCTGAGCCTTTTACCAAACAACAGCCTGTACTTTGATTAAAGGGTGGTCCGTCCAAGTATGTCTGGTTTCACCCCCTTGTAAGCAAATATCTGTGGGACGAGTCTGAAAGGCCTTTGTTGTCAAATACGAGACATTCTCTGTCATAGAGATGAGTCATAGTCATAGTATTTTGACCTCAGAAAATCAATAAAATAAATTTTACACTCTATAACTAATGTATAATAAAGTAATTAAAAATGCATGTAAATTAATTTCAACATGAATTATTTTTAAAATATATGTTATGCTCATGAATGATTAATAAAGATTATAAACAAATCAATGTACATAAATGTAAACATTTATTTTCTTACTCATTTCTGTGTTCTTAAATTATTGTTAATGTTAAGCATGAATTACCATTGTGTACGAAATGTTCTATATAAACCAACTTGCCTACATGCATAAATACAGATTATTTCAAGCCTATTAAAGGAATTGTATGCTATTTGCACACATTCACATGTAGCCTATGGCATCCGATTTGATAAGTTAACCTGACTGTTTATCAAAGCTCTGTTTTTTTATTCCGTGACCCTTTGTAAGTGCATGACCACTGTACCGCAGACCGAGACATCAAAGCCAGTGTTCTCTGTGCGCCATTTCCACCCCCTTCTGTGTTCTCTGACAAACGAATAGTTGTCAAGCTCCAAAACTTGACCTCGGTCTTGGTCCCAGACTTATTTGTTTAATTTCTGTTCCTTTTTTTGTAGTCAAGGCAAGCAAGAGGTTATTGTCAGTTCAAGCCTGACAAACATCTATGCTGGGAAGGGTTCGCTGCCAGACTAAAGGTTATGAGAAGTTGAAGGAAAGGGTAATCTTTGGAAGATCAAATAAAGTGGAAGTCAGAGGAGGGGAATGTGTACAGTGTCACACAGTCTGCCTTTTCCTCAGCAAACAAAACCCCACTGTTCCACTTTCTGCCCTACTCACATGCACACGCACCATCTCTGAGGTCTTTTTTAACCTCTGCTGCCCTTTTGAACTCCTCAGACCATCTAGTTAAAGCAAGCTATTGCAACCATTCAATGTTAGTTATTTCCCTTTTACCACAAGAACAATGTATACCGGGAGAGCATCAGATCCTGCTGTGTTTGACTCAATGTTCAGAGGGTTTACACAATAAGGTGTGTGTGTGTGTGTGTGTGTGTGTGTGTGTGTGTGTGTGTGTGTGTGTGTGTGTGTGTGTGTGTGTGTGTGTGTGTGTGTGTGTGTGTGTGTGTGTGTGTGTGTGTGTGTGTTATGTACTGTGTACTTGTACAACTATTTTTGTGAGGACCAGTTTTAGACCACCAAAGTGAGGACAAATAGAGTAAAGTGAGGAAATTTTGGCTGGTCCTCACTCTCTGAGACCCCTGTTTGCATTAAAACAAGCATTAAATTGTGTGTGTGTGTGTGTGTGTGTGTGTGTGTGTGTGTGTGTGTGTGTGTGTGTGTGTGTGTGTGTGTGTGTGTGTGTGTGTGTGTGTGTGTGTGTGTGTGTGTGTGTGTGTGTGTGTGTGTGTGTGTGTGTGTGTGTGTGTGTGTGTGTTTTTGTGTGTGTGTGTGCGTGCGCATGCGTGCGTGTGTGTGTCTTTTTACAGAATATATAATCCTTGGTCTAAAAAAGGCTTGAAAGCCATCAGATAAAAGTTACTTAGATCTACAATACGGGATGTTATTCTCCGCGGTTCATTTCTGCATTGTCTCTCTCCTCAAAGTAATCTGGCATATCTAATGTGAGATATATGTTCATGTCATTTTCATAGGCATAACTGGGTCACATGAAATCTCTGAATCTCGGAATATGCATGATCACACACACAGATTTCCTTGTTATGAATCACAAAATAAGCCACATGATATGATATGAGATAAATTTCACTGCTAAATCTAGTCTAAAGATGGAGGCACCCCTAGACGCATACTTCGCATACGTTTGTGCTTAAGGTTACAAGGCCTGTTTAAGTGGAGACTTCAGGGATAGGGGGCATGAATGGGCTGTAAAGGAGCCAAGAAGTCATATTCCATGCGAGGAGTTCAGAGAGCCATAAATTACAGGTATGATTTAGAATCACCCGCTTAAGCACAAGGGGCATTAGCTATCATCGGCCAAGCACAGCATACTTTTTATGTACTGTTCCACATCGGCGGATTCATGCCAACTGTGCAACTTTCTTTGATCCATCAAAAATGCATGCAAGCTCTTGTCCAATTACGAGGAAGAGGATCTGTAAAAGAAACTCAGCAGGAATGTGAAGTGTCCTCCACTTAATCAGTGGCGCAGCTTCTTTACTGACCCTCCCGACAGCACTTTCCAGTTGTTCAGAGCTTTATCATCCCTTCCTTTACAGGCAAAATGATGCATTTTTAACATTCAAAGCCAAATCAGTTAGTATAACCTGAAACTCCAAAAGCTTTTTTTTTTTTTATTCACACTCATGTACAGCACAAACCTCTTTTTTCTTTAAGTTAATCCCATCAGCTCTCACTTCAGCCACCCCCTACCCCCTCACTTTGACACATAAAAGGAGGTGTAGGCCTACATTATATGACCTAGTTTTGGAGGAAAACATAAAAGAAAGCTCATATTCAAAAACAGGCGTGTGTGCTTCTCCCAGCTTTGAGCATTAAAACCCCTCGTGCTCTGCTGCCCGTCAACGAAATATGCATGTCATTTTTGAGCTCTTAAAAACTTAAGTATTTAGATGTGAGAGAGCAGAAGGTGAGGGAATAGGATTTCTCTCCTCCGTTTCCTAAGAAGCAACCCTGTAGGCCCGAGGCAGGTTGCTCTTTGTTGCAGAGTGTCCCTTTCTTACAGAATACCTTTTTACAGTCCACTGATCTGTCTTGATGTTGGCCCCAGTGATGCACGAGGTCATCTCTGTCCTATCACTTCCTCTCACATCTATGTATGTCACTGCAACCGGCAGGAATTAAGGTCATGACTCAGGGCCCAGCAGATAAAATTTAGGTCAACAGCAAAGTTTAGTCAGCCAAAGGAAAGGTTTTTATGTACAACCAACATACTCTTAACGAATTCCTCCTAACTTACTTTTTGCATGCAAGATCACGTTTTTTTGTGTAGTCTAGAGCCATAAATTGTGACAATATAGTAAGAAAAAAAAGCTCTTAGCAAGACAAACGACAGTTTATTCTGATTGTGCATTTCAGAACTTTATTCAAAATCTGTGCAAGTAAACACCCAAATGAAATGTATTTTTAGAAATAATGATACACAATAATACTCAAATGTGTTGCAGTTAGCCTGCATCAAAACAATATTTTAAAACCAATAGAAGTCTTTGAAGCATCAGTGTAATCCATCTTTGTACTGTACAGTACGGAACATGATTGTTTACCTGTTTGTTTGGTTTTCTCCTTGTAAAAAATAAAATTGAGTAAAAACAAAATAAATATCTTCATATGCACATTTGTTTCAAAAGTTCAAACATTTTGCCCAGCGGTCTATTTCTCATGACAAACATACAGATCACATTTTTATGTATTGGGCTCCATGACTATATATATATATATATATATATATATATATATATATATATATATATATATATATATATATATATATATATATATATATATATATATATATATATATATATATATATATATATATATATATATATATATATATATATATATATATATATATATATATATATATATATATATATATATATATATATATATATATATATATATATATATATATATATATATATATATATATATATATATATATATATATATATATATATACATATACATATATATATACATATATACATATATGCTTAAGACTTTGAATTTCCCCATGTCCAGTAATACATAGGAACCTTCTCATGCATCTGCATGCAACAGGCAGCAGTGTACTCTTAAATATCTGACATAACACAAAATTTTGCAGAACAGATTATCATAGTTTAATCAGGAGACACATGCAAAAGAAGGACAAAAATCATCCTCTAAAGTACATATTCACATGGCATTTACTTTGAAGTCTCTTTAAGAAATTTCAAAACTAAAATGCTTTTCATTCATACAAAATAGCTGTCTTTCATAAAGATTATGCTATGTACATAAATATAGTTTATAACGAGTCTTTAAATTGATGAAAAACAACATGTCAAATGTAAGACTGCAAAACATCACATGAGCAAACATTTCTGTGGGAATGGCCTTAATATCACAAACACTCCCTTTATTAGATCAACATGTCTATTAACATGACAGACAGCTGAGATTGGGATGATTTGTCTCAAGTCGATGCAACAATCTCTTGCATAATAGAACAACATTTTATGACATGCTAATACCAAGACCTGTTCATAAAATACACAAATACAAAACATATGAGGGGGGAAAAAGCAGTCATTTGTAGTAACTCTTGTGATTTTCATTCATCATCTTCTAGAGTATTGTAAAAACCCAATGCTGTCTTGACAGGTAAATGCTGAGAATGCGGAATAAAGAATAAAGCACATCACAACATTGTTTTCAATGGAAGAAAGAGATAAATTAAAGAGGAGATTGATAAAGTATACACACTTCACATACCATATAGATATCAAGACACCATGTTTTAACACTGATGGATTCATATTCCATATTATCCAAACATGAAGATATACAGCTTTAAAACTGCTGTTAGTTTATCCGAACAATACAGAACCAATTAGAGATGCCTATCTTTTTTTAAAAGGCCGATTTCATTTACTTCAATGTATAAATATGGTGACAAGCCTTCCAGGCATAGACAAAAGTAACAATACATAGTTATTTCTTCGTTTCATCATGGTAAATTGAAGAATATTCACTAACAACTGTTGAGGCACAATCTGTTTATACAGATTGTCATGTGCATTGTTGCATCATAACTCACTGCCTGAGGCCAAAAGTCTAACCATGTGTGGAAAACGGAGTGGGAACTGATATTGTTACGAATACATGAGGGCAAATCTGTCACACACCTTTCATAGAAACCGTATTTCCTTTGCTGCTTAGAATGTAAGAAAGAAATCAGCCAGAAAGCAGTGCTTAGAAATATTCAAATTAACTTTGGTTTCATGGTCTTTTTGTGAACTAAATGACATGTAATTCAGGTGAAAAATGTGTGATGCCTCAATAGAAACAAAAGAAGCAATAAGGTAAGTTGAGAGAATAAACACATTTCTAGTTCAAGCACAGATACTGGTTCACAAACTCAAAACTAGTACTTTTTTCAATGACCCGTGTAGCCGTGGTGAGTCACAACTAAGTGTTCCATGGTAATTCTGTGAATTTTGTTTCAAAGTTCAAAGGCCTCAGTATTACCTGACGACTCGTTTTTGACCTTTGTCTGCATTTGTCTCGAGCCTGCCTCCAGCCCCTCCCCCTCTTTAACCAGTTGTGCATTGCTCCTCTGGAGCATATAATACAAAATAGGGTTAGTCTTGGTAAACCGAGGTGAGTCTAGCCCATACTTTTGTGTTTGATCGTCTCCATTAACCATCCTTGCAGGGCCCTTCAAATCCTTTATGATGCTGTAATCGATTTTTGACCTCGCAGGCTCCTGCTGTGTAAAATGGGAAGATTCTTGCCTATGAACGCTTGCTTTTTTAGGAGATGCATTGCTGGGGCTCAGGCTCTGGTGAAAGTTTTGAAGCTCACCTTCATTACATGGTTGCTTGATTGTATTCCCATTCAGCACAGCATGTGACGATGAACTGAATGTACCCCTGGGCTGAGACAATTCCTTCAAGCAGTTGTCTGAAAGAAGCAGCTGCTTTAGAACATTGAAACTTCGGTTTTCATTAGACTCATTTGGTGGAAATTTAGCTGGTGGACTGTCTGCCTCTGGGGGGCTAGATGGGTCTCTGGCCTCTCTTGTCTCTCTGGTCTCTAGATGTCCAGCAGCAAAACAACCACTGTCGTCTTCTTTTATGATACCAGAATGCTGCAAATCCCTGGCCTGGTGACTCGAGGAGTTATGATATTCTAGTTCTACCGAAAATTTCCGCTTCTTTGGGATCGTTGGTCCCTGGATTTCAACTGATTCTTCTTTGACACAACCCCTGTTCAGGTCCTCTAACTTGTTTGGCTGAAGGGTTTTGTTGGGTCGTTTCTTTAGGAGGTGACAGAGAAGACCATCTCTGGTGGAAGCCTCTGGGGACAGTGGTTCTTGCTTGATGTTTTCGTGAGAATGATAACTGGTGCCTTTTCTAGGCTCCAACCCTGAATTCTGGCATTGCTTTGATATTTTGTTATAGTCATACATATGACCCTCATCAACTGGCTCAGTTTTTATTGTAATATCCAAAGGAGGACCATTTGCTTGGCCTATTGCCTGATGTGTTCGGTTTTCCAAAGAATTGGTCTTGCCATGTTCTCGTTTTCGTTTACTGCCTACCTTTTCATTCTGAGGAGCATTGCCCAGAAGAAGCTGAAGAACTGTACGTCTTTCAAGCAGATTCTCAATTTCTGAGACATGCTGTGCTGCTTCAGGTGCAGTTGAAGTTTTTGCCTTGGCCTCTTCCCACAGTGGGTTATTACTTTGAATTGGCGCAGTGAGTCTTTCAAGTAAAGTTGGAGGATGGTTAACTTTCAGCTCTTGGGTCATGAGTTTGATAGGGGGTAAAGTTGCCTTCGCTGGAGGAGAAATGTCAGGGTTTTGTTTTCCACACTGAGCTAAATTCTGTAACAGTTTACTAGCACTAAAGGCAGGTTCTTTTACTCTTACATCACTTGTGGATTGTTTTGCTTTACAAAGATCTAAGGGGACAGACTGAGAATGGGGAGACCCATAAAGTGTATATGGAGATGCACTGCTGTTGGATTCTCGGCTTTGGGTGTACGTTGGCAAAAGTTTGGGACTTCTACAACTCAATCCACAGTGGCCACTAAGTTCACTTGTGTCGTTACACCTAGCTGTACTGAAAACACTCTGGCTACTTGTAGATGCACTAGTGACCTTAGGGATTACATCATGCAGCAAATCTGGATTATCCAGACCTTTGTTTGCTCTCTCGTTATTTTTGTGATCCAAGAGCAACTGTAATAGAGTGACCTTGTGATGAGGTTTCATCTCTGGACATGCATCCACTTTGACAGGTGGACTCTCAGGCTTCCACCTATTTAATGAAGACTCTGGGATTCTGTCCAGTACAGGTGAGGACGAAGTAGATACTGGTGTTTGTACATTTGTTCTGCTCTTTAAAGAAAGGTCAATAGGAGAGCAACTAGAGTAAGTGCTCTCAGCATCACTGCTGTCTTTTGTTAGACTGCTGTCAGGGTTTGAGTGCTCGCTGTCTGAAAAAAGCGGAGAGGCCAGAGTGCCAAGGGTACAGAGGTCATCTTTCAAGTGACCCTGTCCATTAATTCGCTGTGAGGTGTTGTGACTGTTGAGAAGCTGAAGTAGGAGACTGCTGCAGTTCTGTGATGGTCTGCCTTGTTTCTCAAAAGGTCGACGCTCCCGAAAGCGATGTCCTGTCCGCATGGAACTTTCTGTCCTTCTTTGCCCTGAAGTTAGGCCTGGACTCTGTCTGCTGGAGCTTGTTGACAACAGTTGTGAAGAAGGTATTCCGTTCTTGGTGTGTAAGAGGCTTAGTCCATGAGACTGGCCTGAAGTTGTAGGTTGTTTATCTTGTGTCTGCTGTGTGGCCATGGCTGATAGTCTTTCACTAGCTGATCGTCCAGAGAGTTGGGTTTTAAGGGCATGTTCTCGAGAGTACTGTTGCAGGTGGGCCTCACTGGAGAGCAAAAGAGCCAGTTGACTACATGCCACACTTGGTTTGGGTGATGGAGCGGGACTGGATCTGATATTTACCAGGTTTGCCACGGCTTTTAGGCGCTCTGTACAAGATAGAGACTCTGGAGATGGGGAGGGAGTACTGTTCTGCAGTGCCTTAGGGGATTCTGAAAAGCTTTCCTGGCTAGACCGTCGACGTTGATAAGGCACACTGTTGCTGTGATTCTGCATTTTGCTCTTGCTCACTAACCCTTTGAGGTGGCTCAAGGCAGGTCTGTGGCAAGGCACATCTGCACTGTCCTCTTGTGCAGGCTTGCTTATCTGGCAGGGGGCATCCAGTGGCCTCAAGCCTTGGATAATCTGCTGTGGCAGGGTCACGTTTTGAAGTCGAGAACTGAAAGACTGCAGCAAACTAGCTAGAAGTGTACTCTCTCCTTTATCCTGTGAGGAGCCATTCTGGCCACTGTGGTGGTCTTCACTTTGCCCGTTCAGTGAAACGGAAGGTGCTGTTCTCCGTTGAGTCTCACTCTCTGTCCAGGCCTCTGAGTTGAGTAGACGAGCCTTTCTGAGGTGCTGCGAGGCTCCACAGTGGGAATTTGTTCGGTTCTGCTCCTGTCGAGTGCCATTGGGCTGTGCATGCTCTGTCCCGCCGTCCTTATTCTTCTGCTCTTGGCTTCCACTCTGTGTTGCTGCCGCACCCTGTCCTCCTGCTACCTGATGCATGAGTAAACCTTCCAGATATGTTAATACAGCAGAATCCTGGTGTGTTTCAGGGCCAGGCTCTTCCCCATGAGTCATGTTCAATACTATAGTCCTTTGTATGGTTGGCCACTACAATAGAGGGGGAAATCGTTCTCTTATGTTCTACCAAGAGACCTTACAGTTTTTAGCTTCCAAACCTTGTTTTTTTTTAGGTAAAAGTAAGGCCTAATGTAGATTCACAAACCATTCCCCCATACAGGAGGCAAGACTATTGTTTATAATCATGTTTGCCATTGTTAAGAAAAGTACAGGATTGTAATGCAGTCAAGTCTTGTGGGATTCCATGGCACTGGTTCTGTACTTCAAAGCTCCAGGGTTGTGAATAAAATCACTGCCACATCTGTCCACAAGGTCAGCTGGTGACGGTCCTGCACAAAAGAGAGAGAAAAACTATTAATATTATTAGCTAAATTTTGCATACCACACATTGTATTCAACAAAGCAAATTCATCTAATATTTAAGAAGCAGAATCATATTTAACATGTCATATGTTGATAAGTTTTAGAGGCAAAAGACACTGTAAATGTGATTAAACAGCAAGTTATTTAAGATGAAACTTAAAAATGATCAAACAAGCAAGGCCAAAAAATCTAAATGCAAGTGTTTTGACAGCCATTTCACATGAAAAAGTCATAACCAAAGATGGACCTCTTCATATACTGAAAGATTCACTCAAGACTTTTATCGTATGACAGCAATTACAATCTGTTTCTTGCCTGGGTTTAATTTTTTCCTTCTCCAGACTCTTAAGCAGTATGAATTAGCTTGCCGAATCTCATTAAAACTGAATACACAGGACTTTAAAGACTACTTGATTGATTTGACAGACATTAGGTAAAAAAAATAAAGCAGAGTATCCTGAAGAGTATTAAATGTTTTGACAGAATTCTTGCCAAGATAGACCCACAGAACTGCCAGTTGAGAACTCAATTCTGTGTAAGACAACCACAGACAGCTAACAGGTACTTTGGAACTGTCTTTCCATATCATCTACAATGACTGACAGGTTAAAAAACTAAACCAAGATATAAGCAAAAATGCCACAGAAAGTGACAAAAATTGATGTTATTATAAATAAATAAAACACTGTTTTAGGCTATATCTCGTATTGCTGATTTGCTGCAAACATTTACTACATGTTGCTGGCTGCTTTTACAGACATAGGTTAAATCGCTTAAAGGTTTTAAGAAATGGCTAAAGTTCCTTGCGATCAGACACCTGTGTAATGTATCTCTCTCTCTCACCCTCTATGCAGTCAGTGTCAGTGCCCGGAGAAGGAACACCCACATAATCCAGCCTAGTCCTTCACTTCCATGTTACCACAGTTGCTCTCACTACATCTCAAAATATACCACCCCTGGATCACACAGTGCCATTGGCTCTGTAGAATGACACATTTTTTGTGTATATGCGCAAGCCTGCTCAACGCTATACTCACCACACAACTCACTGAAGTACAGTGAAAGTCACACACAAGCCTCTTGGTACACCAATACCACAATTATGTCTACACATAAGAAATTGAAAACATAATTTGAGATTGAACTGTAAGCACTTAATCATGGAATACACACAAGGCTGACTTTGTCAGTGCTCTATGATCAGAGTGAAGGTCAATGGCTACGGTTGATTTGTTCTGCTAATAATTGGCACCTCTGGTTGTTCTACTTTGGCTGACAGGGAGTGGACAGTACGGGATGACCTTATCAAGCTATCGGTCACAGAGATGTCAGAGTGACAGGGCCGAGAAACTCCTGTGCCACCAAACTAAATACCTCTAATTTGGAATAAAGCTACTGCTAGAGACAAATTACTGATTGTAGCCTAAGTCTTAGTAAGACATTTTCAGCTATTTGGTAATGGTATGGAATAATACTACTTGTCAAATAAATAGTTAAGGAATTTCATTAAAAAATTGGTTGGAAGCTGAATCAGACTGTGAAAATTAGTGTGAAGTTTTGTCTCCTCCTGACCAAGCGTTATATCTAATGTGTCAAAGACTGGAAGAGGGTAATTGATTTGGGCCAACAACAACAACACTTCGTCCTATACTTGTGTCAATAGGCCACTGTTGTCCTAATCCAATCAAAAGAGGAAACACAATACTGACAACTCCTTCACTCTGTTAAACAGATAAACAATTATTTTAACACACTTATCTCATCTCTAAAGAGAAATCGTTATTGAAATCCGATTTTTTTTAAAAACAGATTCGGTAACAACTTTCAAATCCAAGCTTTGCAAAGATTAGAAACTGCCATTTTATGACAGCTGTGAGCTTCAGAATAACTGTGTAAGAACCAATTGTACTAGCCTCTCTTAAAACCTAGTCATATATGAGTCCGTTCACTCAGTTCTATTCAGGGTTTTTTCATCACAATATTATCACCATCAGTGCAGGGAGAAGACGCTCCTGAATGAGTTACCTGAGTAATAAAAATCCCTTTAAAATGAGTAGCCTGATATAAATGGAGAGAATCTGATATCTGGACTGGATCCCTCATTCCTCAATTGCAAGTTTGGAAGATTAATTGACCCCCCAAAAAATACCAGATCATAAATTACATCCACAGTCCAGAAACTGTAATCCATTTAGGCTATTTAAAATGCATGATGAGGCAAAAAGAGCAAAACCTGCTGCATGCCCTGTTTGAAGTCAAGGTCATTTACTCCGCCGGGGCTGTTTGAGTTGATGCAACAGCTGGCATCCATACAAAGCATTAGGTCCTAATAAAAAGCGACAAAGCTGCCCTTGCGATGTGCCTTCGTACCTGGCGTCTAGCTGATGTGTTCTCGAAATAAAAAGGAATCTCAGACATAGTTGTGCCACTGCAACTACTTAGTAGTTGTTATCCTCTGGTTGCACACATAGGCACAAAAGCCTGTGGAACTACAACAACACATTCCTAAGATAGCGTTGGGTGACTCAGTCAATCAGGGCCATGCATCATTCAAACTAGGTCACTGTGACCTACTTACAAACAAGCATTATGGGCATCATGCATTGACATTTCCTAGCTGGGGCACACCCCTTTAGTTAGGGCTTTGCCAAGTGCAATCTCTGACTCCTAGTAAAAGCATGGTCTGACCTGCATTATGACGACCCTATGATGAGCTACCCTTTCACATGGGCAAGCATGGGGCAATACCAGCATGTTTAAGCCAAGCAGAAGGAACCCTTTCCCAAGTAGACGGCAGAAATATATACAGGGGCCCCTGCATGTACCGTCACAAGACTCCAAACATAATTCCAGAGTCCTGACACAAGTAATAGTCTTGACCTTAGACTTGTAGATTTATGATGGCAGCATAATGTTAACAGGAACACTTAGAGAAGACTAAGCTGGTTCATCTTCGACTACAGAATAACATGTATCTTTGTCAGTTCTCTTTCAGCCCAAAAACAAATGGCACACTGAAGTGATACCGAGTGCACTAAAGCTTGTCCAGGAAAATTTTAATTAATGGCCACAACCAGGAAATGAGAACAAACAAAATATTTGTACTCTTAATTTACTGTAATAAATGGCCCAGTTTCCGGGGTTGGAAATTACTTGAGGAACGTGAGCATGCGAATCAGTCTTTGCCCAAAAACAAACAAAAAAAAAACCGGTTGATAAAAATACCAAAAATCACTTTGAGTACTTAAGTGGATGTTTTTGGCTGTGTGAACTTGTACCTGACCTCTAGAAAGCTGTGACCTTTTTTAGGCTTCACGCAGGGGAAAAAAACTAATTTGCATTCGTAGACATTGTGAGAAAAAGTCAGATAGAAACAAATAGCTACACAGTGAGAGCCGATGGCCCTTTAAAAGTCACCCTTCGCCTTAACTCAAGAGATCATGTTTATCAGGATCATAGTTTATGCCAGTCATTATGTAAACAGCTCTGACCAAGTATAGCAATCGACTGCCAGTACTGCAACGTGCAACTGTACTTGCAAAACCAAACACAAGAAGTTCATATGACAAAATAAACAAAAGTCACATGGTGCGGACTAAAGTGCAATATATCAGTGGTCTGAAAGTCCAAATCGAGAGGGAACCAAAGAACCCTTTTATTAATAAAATAAAAATACACTGCACAGTTGCCTTAAGGGTCAGATGAAGGGACAGCATGTGCGTCATGAACCTCATGTCATCTGTTCGAGTCTTTAGAGATAACTAAGCAATGTTCTCATCCAAAACGGACAGCTTCCACTTTTTCCAGGATGTGATCTCATTACAAGTTACTGGCAGTACAGGTTATATGTCAGGCACGATGGGCCTAATCCAGTGGTTCTCAAACTTTTTGTCTCCAAGGCCCCCCATTGTCCACAACAATCGATGGCCCCGTGGTTTTTCCAGTTGTTTGTGATTTACTGGATAATAATTTTTATTTTATTAACAAGTTCCATCATCCCAAAGTCCATGGGTTTCTTTAATTGCTTTTTGGTTAAATGCCTGAAATAAGCTAAATATATTTTCATGTTTATTCTAAAATACATCAGTAATACCCCCCTCATTAGTTTTTTCAGCTTTTTTCGTGTCTTGAAAAAGGCTATAGTGGGTTAATTTGACAATATATTTGCGCTCCAGTAAACTATTCAACTCAAACTTTACAACTTGTAGCCTTTAAATAAATATTAAAAGAGCTGTCATAGGCTATGACGCTGAAGTCATGCGACCAGGAGTTAGTTCGTTTATAGCCTAACTTCAGCGTTTTACCTCCAGTGATTGCATCAAGGCTTCAAAATGTATACAATTTAATCTTGATGAACAAAATGTGAGCTTACAGAGCTTATTTTCTGCAATAATCCAAAAGCCAGTGGGAAAACAATATTGTTGCTTTGTCGAGGGAACCAGGGTGATGCAAACTTTTGGGTTGGCCAACAAAATTACGTCATTTCAGCAGCACTCCATGAAGATACTGATATGGCTAGAGACTTCATGATGTTAAACATATTTGACTGATTTCTTTGTGCAACTATTTAAATTAGGGGGGAGGGGGTAGGGGGGGAATACAACATGCAAGTTAATTTTCAACAACTTAAAACCATGGAAACATTTTAAATTTTCACACAAATTAATCTATAACAGCAGCAAAATAAGAACATTTGAAGTATTAAGACTCATCCAGAACTTCAGAAAGCTCAAATTCATAAAGGTCCCAGCAATGTGGAAGAGATATTTCTGCCATGCACACACTCATATACAATATACGATCTTACCTTCTTACGCAGCAGTGACACCAAGAACAGGTACAGTGTAGTAATCAATTTGCTCTGCAGGCTGTAAGGCTTTGTCTGAATACTAATACACCTCAACAACATCCTGCCCCTCTTTGCTCTCTCCTTCTGTCTCTCCCTTCTTCTTTCTTTAGGGTTGAC